TATACGATCAACTTCCCATGGAACTAATGGATGGAGACTGGGGATGAATCAATAGAGTAATGAATGCTAGTTACAAATATTGAGACCAAAACTGCTACGTGAACATTCCAAGCAAATCGTGGGCGGTCAAAGTTGACAGGAAGGGTAGCGTCAGCATAGGAGGCGAGCTAATCTTCCCGCATCGGCGTTTTAGTTTTCTCGAACAATACATATAGAGGTAAACAGATGTCCTGGTCACGAATATGACATTCATTTTTGAGAAAGAGGCGATCTGGCGCCAGTTTGGTGCCGCAACTCACTTTTTTACTGCATTTCTTGCCAACTTTGACCGCTCACAACTTGCCTAGAAAGGTCGCGTAGCAGTTTTGGTCTACATATCTGTGAATAGTATTCAGTACTCTACCGGTTTGCCTAGATCTCCATCCAAACTTTCATGGGGAGTTGGGAACATTACTTGGATAGAAGACCGAAAGATCGTAAATAGGACAACAATATTGATTATCATGACTGTTAGATTTCACTCTACCAAGAAATATTATCGGAAAACCTACTTCTAAATTGCTGAAGTCAGTTCATGCCTTGGACAACTGATCCGGTCTTCGAAAAATAAATTCGTCGACAACGAAGGTGTACCGATACCGATACTAGTGAATGACGGGTGACGACCCAAAAACGTCAAGCCGTCTGTACTCATCCGCTAAAAAATTTGCACGCTTCGTTTTTGCTGAAAGACGATCAAATTGTGGAGCAAAAGGCGCATGGCTCTCGGAGCAACGAAATTCCTTATGGTAAATAAACACTATGATAGATCGGATGCTCGAGGAGTCACCGCACCGCATTCTTTTATAGACAAAATCAAAGTATTTTTTGTCGCAGAATAAATTTTTATCCGTTCGTCATACTCAGAAAGCACTAAACCTCCGTTCCTACCAGAAACTTGACAAAACTTCACAACAATAACATCTTTATCAACCCGTCGTAGTCCAAACAAAACAACAACATTAAAAAAAACAAAAAGCAAACAAGATAACAATGTGAACAAAAGTACAACAAAAAGTCTCTAGAAAACAGAATTGCCTGTCGCGTAGTGAAGGTGCGCATCGGTACCAGATGTGGCACAACATAATCACTTGCGACAGACGTTTTCTTTGCCGAAGTACTACCATAAAAAAGCGACAAATAATATCGAAATCTCTAGGCTCCATATGTTCTAATATAGCAATTAGGAATTCTGAGCTACCGGACGCCTCTTCTCCACCCCTTCAGGACGCAAAATGATTCCGACCTTCGTCTTGAGCTGAAACGAAGGAACACGTTGTTCTACAAGCCTGCTGACGCAAGTGTACGTAATTGGGGGCAGTAACACGGCAACAGTAATCCTACTTTTTGTATGGTAGAAAGCTCTGAGCAAGGTGAATCAACTTGAATATTGGCAAGAGAGAACTTGAGCGAATCAGAAATGGAAGTGTTGGGAAATGTTTTTGGAAACTTTGGGTGCTTTATACCACGATGCCTCCCACACACATACACACTCGTCACGCCCTGATCATTCCGATGGCAGTTTTCGAATGCTTTCTTCAATACTTCATGTCTGAACAAATAAAAATCGTCCGAAAACCCACGTCACATCTGTTGTGCACTGAAGTCACATTGAAGTGGCGCAAAATCCACGACACCACAACTTTCACTTCCATGATACCGAATCTGGAGTAAATTATTTAACGATTAATTTTGAATATGTTAATATAGTTTTGATGTTTGAGAGCATCTCTGTAATATGATCTCATCGAAAGTTCCTACTTCATTCACAGGTTGAAGCAATCCATAAATACGCAACTTCAGATAAGGAATCGAAATTCTCTCCTACCGCTCGAAGGTACATTCCACGATTAATCCTGATGGCTCAAGGCCTTCCATGAGTGGAATAGAGCCATTTACAAGAGGAGAATGCGTAAGAATGAGCGACAACCTAGCTCAAGTCTTCTCATTAGCACTTGAACCGTGTGTTCCTCTTTGCTTGCCGTTGCGCTTGCTCTGTGTTCCCTCTCCTCGCCTTAACACTATAAACCTAATAGAAACATGTTTTCGGTAGCTTCTCCCACCTTTTTCTTCAATGGTGGCCCCAGCCTAGCACCAATACTTTTGTTGTGGAGCAAAATGAGCATAATTTTTGATAGTGGAATGTGCCTTTAAGGCTGTATCTACACTGCTAGAATTGGCTGCCTGTTGTCCATGTGAACCGCGCTTATGTGTCAGTTGCAGCTGGTGTTTCTCAGCCTACCGAGGGTTGTATCAGATGTTTTCAAGCAAAGGTCCGTTGCTAGATACCAGCTGACGACGACGGTCTTAACATCGACATCGCACATCTTCCGGCCTCGTACCTCCATAGGTACTCTACGATCCAAGGCATTGATAGATGACATGGAACTGCGCAAGTGAAGCCTCGTCAGGCGTGCAGTCGGCAGACAAGTAGGTGTCACCCGGGTGTCCCCCAGGAGGCCCGTCGCGCGGCGAAGGAAGAGACGCAGGCGCGGCAAAGGACGAGTCGCAGCGCATAGTAGCGGTTAGGCGTCAGGTTAAATAGAGTGTACT